GGGGGGGGGGGGGGGGGGGGGGGGGGGGGGGGGGGGGGCGGTGAAGCTGCAATTCGTTCGTTAACACGTCGTCGACGGATTTGACGACGTGCTTTGCGCTCTGGCCATGTCCGACCGTTGCCATGACAAAGAACGCGTCTCAACTCTTCGAAACGCCAAAAGAATAAAAAAGCACTTGGTTGACGTCAACTACACAGCACACCTACAACAGATTCTTTCATCTCGAGCCTCCCCTTAATCGTTTGACATTCCGCACTGCTCTCAGGCGGGGCGCAAGAACATCGACTCCTTGAAACGGCAGATCGGCGAGCTCAAGCGGGAGAAGGACATCTTGGATCGGAAGCACGTATCTTCAGACAGAGCGGCTTCTCTAATCTTTGACCTCTCCAAGGTGTGCAACAATTCCCTTCAGCTACTTCGAACGACCACAGTGTCAGCGACACGTCGGAGGGCGTAGTGGGCTAGACGAACCCTTCTCGGTGTAAGGCAAAGAGATAATACCAGAGTAGCTTGTCGACACACATGCGATACGCATGTCAATGACGCCTCGTCTACCGCCAAAAACATGGGAACGAGCTGGTCGTTCAACATCCAGGATGTGGTTGTAAGTAGCACTTAGCGGGCTCATTGGAAGCATGCATAACAGCAAAGTGATGCGTGGTCAACCAACCAGACCCTGTGCTATACCCTCGCATAACCACGGGTATACCATGGCTATTAAACCCAACCAGTTTCGTCCCAATACGCCAGTCTCGTCAAGATGAATGAAGCAGCGCGCGTGGGTGCGACTCGTGGTATCGGGGACGATATTGAGCGATGCCCGCTTACCACCCTCTTCTTATCGGTCTACCCAACGGCGTCACAGGCGAACCAAGCGACCCGCAAGAATCTGTTGGACGACCGGGAGGCCATGAAGCAGAGCATCAGAGGCCTGCGCTCGAGGATAGAGCAGCTGGCGGGAGAGCGCGAGCGCGCGGAAAAGGACTCGCTGGAGCACACCCGCCTCTGGCAGGAGAGGGCCGAGGGGCTCAAGGCGCAGGGTCTCCAGGTGAGCCAGGCGTACTCTGCTGCTTCTTCACAGTGATTCGATCTTCCATCTGGGGTGTTGCGATTCGTAAAGAACACGTTCGAAAGTATGATCGTACTACAATGCTCCCCCAACTTCCGTCGACGACGATTCTCTCTTCTTGCCACATTGGCATCACGGTGAGACTGTGGAGGAAGATTACGTGGGTTAAAATCCTGCCACCCACCAAACGATGGTGGCAGCCACTAGCAAATGGCGGAGAGCCAAAATAAAACAGATACGACGTATTCAAACTTGTGGTGACTCTGGTGACGTGACGGACAATTCACATCCATGGAAAAATTCGCAGAGGGCCTTTCCTGACGTTCATCGGCTCGCCTCCGGCCAATCGGGTTTCGGTTGCCAAGCCTTCTTCAGGGGGGGAGGTAATGTCGAGGTGACCTATAATGTGTTTCATCTCCCAAACGTCCGTCAAAGACACCAACGTCCGTCCAGGACGACTATCTATCTTCACACTACCCCGCAGTTCGTGACGAAATCCTTTTCCTTCTTGGTGTTTGTGTTGTCATCTCAGGTCGCAGACCTCCAGAAGAAGATAGCGGCGGCCGTGGCCCGCCTGAAGCAGCAGCAGAATCTCTACGAGGCAGTGAGGAGCGACCGCAACGTCTACTCCAAGAATCTCATCGAGACTCAGGTTAGATTGGCAACTCTAGTTCTTCTTCCTTTCAACGTTCAACTCCCTAGATGAAATCCGGTGTTAGTCATGCGAGAAGGGTCGGCACGTCTTCCCCCTCTTTCCCCCGCTCTTTCTCGCTACCTATATCCTTCAGCTTGCCTGAGAAGCATTCTTCATTGTGTTTGTTTCAAACCAACGCAAACGCCATCCCTCTCGCAGTGGTAATGAAGGGAGGCATGCACCGCGGAGAAGTCTTGTGTGCGACGTCGGGTCGAAAGCTCTTCAGTCGAAGACGCAAGACCGTGCGCTGTTACGTAGAAACCACAAGTGACAGTAGTTTACCGGCGACGAAACGGTCATGAATACATGTATCCCGTCACTTTTGCTCTTAAACCCCGTCTTTTTGGTCCCGTGCCTCAGACGACTTGTATGCACACGAGGAAAGAGTAGGTTGACCGTGCCCGAAACGTAACTCCCCAAACACAACTGACTACCCCAATCATGCAACACGCGATAAACACGGCTCGAAGAACGGCCAACACCCCGCGGAGATTCGCACTGAAATAGTAGAAGTTCAACCAGACCCATACCTTGTCAAACGTGCCGTTCTTCGAGGTACGGGGGTCGGAGTATGCTCGCGATCAAGACGTAATCCAAATCAATTGTTCAGATTCGGCCAGACCCGAGTGAAACGGTGTGTTCCCTTCTGTGATTTCCGGTACTTTTTTCGAGTTTTGAACTTTTGTGTGCTCTTTCCTCTCCTGTGTGCTTCACCAACACGTGCAGGACGTGATCAAGGAGATGAAGCGGCGGTTCAAGTTTATGAACCACCAGATCGAGCACCTCAAGGACGAGATTACCATCATGGACCACTCCTTGGTACGTTCCTCACGAACATCGAAACACGCGCTATGTCATCCGCCGAACAGCATTCAACCCCTTTCTCTTGTTTTGACGAGTGATCACGTCGGACGAGACCGTCGGCTGTTGTCACTACCCACCATCCAGACTCTCGCACGTTGGGTACGGCAAGGGTTAGGGTTGGGAACGACAACCCGTGGTTCTACCATCGGCCTTTTGACCCGTCAGTGAGGTTGGAAGCAACCAATGCTATCGTGTATCAATGTGGTGCCATTGCTTGAGTTCATGTTGGCCCCCGTCCCATTATCAACAACGGTTGGTGGTGGACTCGTATCGAATGTGGACGACCGTTCGTGTTTGCGGTTACAATATAACATGGAATGGAGCAAGTTTGTTTCCTCAGCGACATCCCCAAAGACAAGTACTGCATTGTTTATGCCCTTCCTCGCTCGGGAAAATCAGACTAAAACGGCGGCGGAATCGCATCGGGTAGACCGGGTGCTTGCATGCTGTAGGTGACTATTTGAGTGGCTATGATAGAAACCTGTTCGTTTCATGTTAAGCCCATAAAGCGAAAAGAGCAAATAATTGAAAAACGATACGCGAGATTTGGGTTCGGTGGCCATCTATTGTTTGTTTTACAAAAAAAAAGGTCAAGGAGCACTTCCACCACCACAATGTGGACAAGGATAAGGAGTCCCTCCGCAACGACGTCACTAAGGTGAAGAAGCAGATCGTCTCAGGGGAGCACATCGCACTACATCAGCGCTCCGAGCTGCAGAAGCTGACTCGCATCATACAGGAGGCCGACGAGGAGCGACAACGACAGGCAAGAAGGTTTCTGGCCACGATTGACTGTGATTTAAGGGGTAGGGTAAACTTGAGGACCTCGCTCGCAGGTGGGTGATTGCAGAAGGTAAGAGAGATTGTATTTGTGGAAGTCTTACCGTCTTGTGCGAGGAACTCGTCCTGTACATGGGGCTATGCCGGGACAGACTCAGGTCGGGGTACATCGACTTGCGACAGACATGGGAGACTACGATCCACGTGACGACCACAGTGCTGGTGCCATGCCACTCTCGCACCAAGACACTTCATTTCTTGCACGATACTTGTTTCAAGTAGGCAAGGGAACATGTCTAGATGGAGAAAACACAATGCCCCTTGTAATGTTGCTCGATAGGTGTGGGTGGTGTGTACATTGGTGCTGCCTTTCACCGTGTATGAGCCAGCTCGTTTCCGTAAAATGCTGAACGTCGGGAGAAAATCACGCGAACGGGGTCTAGGTTCCCTTGAAGGGGGCCGTGACCTCGATAAACTATCATGCAAGGGCCCGGAGGATTACCGTTTCCGTCTGGTGCCTTTGTTTGCGGATAAATGTCGATAACACCGGTTGGATACTGTTCGTATCCAATGAGAGCAACAGCGGTAATTACCCTTGTTGTGGTTTTTGTTAGGTGAAAGAACACGATGCCATCGTCGGCGAAAAGGGTGTCCTGTTTGGCCAGCTGATGAAGCGGAACGACGAGCTGTCCGTGCTGTACGACAAGATACGGATCCAGACCTCGAGCCTGCACCAGGGGGAGGTGGGTTTGCACCAAGTCCCAGTTATTTGATCCATAAACCATATTATCGTTCTGTGAAGGTCGTTGTTGCATGTCGACGGACGCTTATTTCAAAGGGTTTGTACCTTACAACTTATCGATACCACTTCGGCACTTCTTGGTACGTTCTCAAATAAATGTGGAGGTTACTTTGTGTTGTCATGGAAAGAACATACCCGCCTTGCGTCATCTCGGAGCGTGTAAACATGCTGTGGTGCGCGCATGTGTCGTGCTTTCTGCCTCGAACGGGGTGTTTGTGTCAGGTACGTTACCAACAGCTGCTGGACACCATCGCGGACCTGGAAGGGCAGATCAAGTCTATGGAGAAAGACCTGGTGTCGTCGATGTCGCAGGTAAACCACGCGCTGGCTATTGGGCCACTGCCTGCCAAGGCCTTTCCAATTTTTTTTTCATCACCGCAATCGCTGAGGAACGAAATGGGACGATCAAGAGAAAGAAAGGAGAAACATTCGTTTTGCTAGATATTTGTTCGTGGTGAAGTTGTGTATCTTTTGGTCGCTTTCTCCCCTGTGGTTGTTGGTATGCGCATGCCTTCGTTTTCTGTTCGTTAGTGCCCCTTTGGGTTATTGTCTATGCGAGATAGACAAACAAACCAGGTCAAGTACAAGTGCTTAGACGAAACGTGACAATTAGTCTAAAACTCGTGAGACCCGTGTTGTACAGCGTTTGAAGTTGTGTAGTGAACCTCGAAATCTCACGGTAGCGCGGCAGCCACACCGACTTGACTGTTGTTTGAATGCTGCCAGTTAACTGATGATTCAGCACGATCGCATTGTTTGAATATGACGCCGGTGTCGCCAATTTGGTCTCAACGCTTCTCGAGCAGGCGGGAGACCTGAATGAGCTCACGACAGCGTCGAACAAACTAGAGAAGGTGAAGCACGCGAACTACAGGATGAGTGGGGTAGGAGTGGAGCAGGGGAGAACGTGGTTTTGTTTGGTTGGGTTACCGGGAGGGAGGTAATGGGGAGAACAAGGGAGGGACGGAAAGAGGATCAATACATCGATTCGCCTCCTCACGCCGGCAATACCCAGCACTCGTCCTCGAAAGGCGTATAATCCAGGAACGAACCAGGAGGAAGTCTTGATTAATTTTTCTCTTTGATCCTCGTCCGATTTTTCCGCCATCTCATTGGCACGCCACTTCTACCTACCCTGTACGGTGTTGCCTCTCTTGCCAACAAGCTCCTTTCAGGGCATACGCACCTACATATCTCAAAGCGAGCGGAGTCAACAATTCCTTGTCTCGTATGTACGGACTTGCAAGCGCTTCCCGCTCTTGGTACGGACCGTCCTACAATGCGTTCATTTGAGGAGGAAATTAGCCAAACCTGTATCAGACAAGAACAGACACCACGAATACCGCTACATCCAACAGGACCTGATGCGCGAGCGGGCCAAGATGACTGCGCTTGTAGAGGAACTCGAACTTCCGCTCAACGTACACCGCTGGAGAAAGCTAGAGAGCTCGGACCCCGAGCGATACGACCTGGTAAGGAAAGCCCAGTCCCTGCAACGCAACCTCGTGTCCAAGACGGAGAGTGCGGTGAAGAAAGACCTGCTCATTCAAGAAAAGGTAAGCATACCTGCCAGCAATGGTGAAGCGTTGGAACGGCGATTGGAATGTTGTCATGGTCGTTGACGTACAGCGCAAGCTAGGTTGTCTGAATTGCGCCCACCGTAGTTAGCGTTCGGTGTGCGAGTGTAGCTAGTTTCGCGTTCCAGTCTGGCTAGCCTTGAGGCACACAAACGTTGTCCATGCTCACTTCTGCAAGGATCAGGGGTTGAGCGGCGTCTCTCACATCATCGAGACGACAACAATCAGATGCACGCCTCGGACAATCGCTATAATTTCTCCGCTGCACGGATTTGCGGTGTTACTGATACCCTCAGGAGAAGCTGTACATTGAGCTGAAGACTATCCTAGGGCGGCAGCCGGGACCGGAAGTCGCGGAGCAGCTCGCGGTCTACCAAGAGAACTTGAAGCACAAGGTATTGCAGCAGAACATCAATACTGGCGCTGCGGCTGAAGTTAAAAATCATCCTCCGTAGAAAGAGAACATGTACCGCTGTGGTGGGTGCACAGATTTGAGCTCCTTCGTTTGGATTGGACTTCTACTTCAAGCTGCGTAGATGTGGCTCCCATACTATGTTCGTACACGGATTGGACTGGCCGACCTTGCGCCGGAAACTGCCTTAAATTAGTTTGAATGTCTACCCGCTTACATCCCAAACGACTCTTATTGTCTGTGATAGTAACCACGCAGTATTCGTTTGATCCATGAAGACAGTGGCATGAGTAGTGATGGTGGCAAGAATAATCGTGTGGAAATCATCTGGATCTGCGCAAGAGAGGTCTCGATTGCAGAGAGCACGAACAGCGCCTTCATTACAAGTAGATGTAGTAAACGCCCGAGTGCTGCGCCACAGTAGTAGCAGGAGGGGAAGAACGTTCCCTCGCAAGCTTTCGTTCTCTTAACTCTATTGGACTATTCAACCACAACAGGTGAAGCAGATGAGGGCCATGGAGGCCGAGCTGGGCATGTACAAGCAGCAGGTTGATCTCTTCAAGTCCGACATCGAGGCCGCCAACGAGGCAATGCGCGCGCTACGACAGCGCTGGGTCGCCGACCAGAGGCGCAGCAAGATGAAGCAGGGAGGGAGTGGGAGCGATGAGACCATTAACCTTACCGCGAACACGTGGGACTCGTCCTCGCCCGTTGGGGCGACCGCTAGCGCCGACAGTATGCCGCCACTGCTGTCGCAGGATGAGAAGGGGAATAACAGTAGCAGTACTATTCCGGATAGAAAGAGTATCATTGAGGGGGACAGAACACAAACACAAGAGCCTCAGGCATTCGATAAGCCTCCTGCCCGTGCCGTTGAATCATGATTGCTTTATAGATTTTGCCACGGTGTGTGCAATCATTGGTGGCCATTATATAGTTGTTTTAGGTGTTGACACGAACTCATGAAAACAACAATGGTTGTTTGACGTACGTAGAGGTTGTGCATATAGATTCGTCACGTCTTGGTACTTTACTGCATCCACGCTACGATCCCTAGCATTTTCTCCTCCGCTTTACGTACTGGCTTTCGTTCAATAGGCGTCGAACTTTGAATCAGGAGCAACAAGGGTTGGGACTGAATCGGGATAAACAGCACAGTCGCGGCGGAATCCCTCTGGTATCCGCCCCGGGCAGCCAACTTTGTGTTTGCTACGTTCTCTCACTGCTGTGTGCCGTTGCCGTGTCTGTAGGTTGTCTGTGCGGATCGTCGCGAAAGAGTAAATTGATAAAACCGGAAGAATGAGCAGTAGAGTGCTGCTGCTGTAGTCTACGTAGATAATGTTGAGAGGGAAAAAACACTCACTCACACATTCACTCACACATTTCAACCGCACTGCGACCAACGTATTTCATTGGTCAGCCGGTTAGCGCGGTCGATGCTAATAATAAAAATACACACAGGTGCAGAGGTGCAGCCGGTCAGCTAGCGCGGTTGATGATAATAATACAATATACACAGGCAGGCATGGGATAGCCTCGAGAGCCCTTCCAGATTTATTTTCAACACTGATCCCAGCAGGGCCTAGTCTAAGCAAGGTGATCATCCATTCATTGTCGAACGCCCTACGGACGGAGCCACGGACGTGTTATTTTACAGCATCTTGCTCGGCGGGCTTTCTGTCGATTCCGTGGAGTCAGGAAGAGGGTCTATTTACGGTCTGTTGGTGACTCCTTAGGTCTAACCGGTGGCGGAGGTTAGGACACACCGCGGAGGCAGAGCGTAAAAACTGCTGGTTACGAAACCTGATCGGTGTTTCTTTTTTTTCAATGATACCCCGTCTTCGGATATTACATTGAGGGTTGGGGGGAGGTGTCGACCCACAATATACACACACTTCACCATCCGTTCGTTCAACTGTCCGAGCGACTCACGGCGAAACAACAAACCCGCGTTGTACGATGAGGCCATTCCATACCACTGGCAGGTCTGTGGCAGCCATGGCAGGAGCTCTTTCCGTGCTTGCCGTAGCAACCGCCGCAGTCACCCGAGAGCGGAGGCGGGCAAGTCGGGTAGCTCGGGCAAAGATGATCGTGCGGCGTGGCGTGCGAGTGCTCCTGGCAATCGATATCGGCAGCTCTTCTGTAAGGTGCTCGGCCTACACGGTGGGATCTCCGCCGATGCTCGTGCCCGGCTGCGCTGTGCAACTCAAGCATGCCATCGTGAAGGAAGACGGCACAGCGGATGCGGAACAAGTCATCTTGCTCGTTGATGCGGCGGTGGACAAATGCTTTGGGTAAGAGGAGACACTGCCATGCATACACAGATGTTGGTGGTGCACGCAAGACGCTGTTGTGGCAGTACATCTTGTGTGGCTTTTGCGTCGGAGTGAAGAAGGAGATTACCAAACCTCTAAACATGTTTAGGCAGCTGCTTGGCTGCATGGTGTTCATGTTGTTATGCACTCTAGACTGCTGAAACTTTACTAGTACAATTCACCGCCTTTGTTTGCGTCCGCAACCCAGTACATCGATGGCACCTTGCCGACGTGCTTTCAACCGGGTAACCCTTTGCGCGAAGTGGAAGAGCAGCCCTGATGTAACACGAAGAAGCCGTGACGCAAGTCAGACGATCAAGGCAAGAGAGCAATGCGTAGCGAGCATGCGCGGCGGAATTACCATAGACTAGTCTGTACATCGGTTGCCGAACCGGTATGTCTTGACCTTCAACTTCTCGACAGCGCGGCATCAGCATCTCTCTCGCACTCGAAACGGTAGCCTTGGCGTATCCCCTTACAACAAAGAGAACAGTGGTGCACATCATAGCTCCAGGATATTTTACTTTCAAAATCAGCGAGATTTCACCCTTGGAGTGCATACAACACCGTGTGTTGCATAAGATACCACAGCCCTGGACCGTTTTTTAAAACTCGTGAACTATGCAGGAAAACCACGGAGTGGCCGTGCCAAAATATGTTATGTTGGATGCGTCTTGTCGAGAGCTTTCCAATAACGTATATATATATTTGTATGTCATCCTGCATGTCGTGGAGTGTTCGAGTTTTGAAAATCCGTGCCGAGGGTGTGGTATCTTACGCATTCTGCGGCACCTCCTGAGATTATTAATCGTACTACAGCAGTAGAATAAACCACATGCTCCAATAGGAAGCCCTCCGACCGACCAAAGAACTACTGATTGTATGTAGACTACAAATCTTTGCGGGGTTCCGTCTAAAATAGGCGATCCTCCTTTGATGTGGAACTTTTTGACTATCTGACTACTTCCACAACATCTTCCCTCGCGCCAATATTTGTCACGCCACGGATTTTGAATGTCTGTGCCACGTACGGTTCCCAAGGTTCTCGGAGTAAATGAAGCAACCAAGTCAGACCTGCTGTCGACAATTCCCAATTTCGTGTTGGAGGGGGGAGAGGAGGGCTGACGCTTCACCGTTCGTAAACGAATGGTAGTAACACTCCTCCCTGTTACGGCAACGCAGGGGTGATTGCAGGCAGCCGGCAGCCCGATCTATTCCTAACCGCTTCTGCCCACTATCAAAGAGAGGAATAAGGTGTGGGCAGCCACGTGACGGAAAATGTACTCACTCCGGCACCGTGGCGTCTTGTCCACCACACAGCGGCAGGAAATTGCCTCAATACAGAAATGCACCTTACGCTCGAATGGAAAACTGTTTGCCTGCTACAATGTGTTGTCTCCGCGCGTCAAATGTCCCTTCGACTCACCGCCTTGTTGCGCTATACACACGCCACCCCGTCTACGCGCGCGCAGCGAACTCCGCGCTCGAGAGGTGGCGCACGCCGTGATAGCCGTCGGCTTCGCGTGTTTCGGCATGAACCTGGTCGGTGTCAACGCCAGCGGAAAGCCATGCACCCCGGTCTTCACCTACGCCGGAAGCTCCGGTGCTTCTTGTGGTCCATCCTCGTCTCCACCCCCACCCGCAGGAGGCGGGCCTCCCAAAGACCCTCCCCCCGGTGACTGCTTCGAGGAGGAGGACGTGGTGAAACGGTTGCGGAAGTCCCTCGAAATGATGGGGAGCGGGGGGAAGGGCGGCCTGGAGGAGGCACGGCAGCGAACGGGCGCTCCGACGCATGTTTCCTACGCACCGGCCCAGCTGCTGCGTTGGCTCCGGGAAACGACGACGGCAGGAACGGTGGCGACGCCGACGAAGGAGAGGGTGAAGGGGGGGGAGTCGAATCAGCGGCGGTGGCGGTCGCCGCAGCGGTCACAGGTGAAGCTTTGGCAGACCCTGCCAAGTCTCATCGCCGCTAGGTGGTGTTGCCTGAGGAGCGCCCCGGTGAGCTACTCGGAAGCCTCCTGGACGGGTATGCTGGATTTACGGAAACTGGAGGTAAAGAGGTAGGAACGCTGGGGTGGCGTGGGGGCACGAGAACGGTTGTGGGCGCATGCGTATGACTGCTCAAACTGTTACCCATACATACCGCCCGCAACACAGTCTTGCCCTCTCCCCCGCCCCCGCCCCCCCGGTACTCGCGCCGTTTTCAGTGGGACACCCACACTCTCTCCGTCCTCAGCGAGGCCGGATTCGACTGTTCGGCGTTGCCACGGTTGGCGGACATCGGCGACCTGCGAGCAGGCGCAAGTGGAGCCACCCTGAAGCGGTGGCCGGAGCTTGACGGAGCATCGATCCGACTGGGACTCGGGGACGGCGCGGCGGCCTGCCTGGGCTCGGGGTGCGTACCGCTGAAGTCGGCACTAGACTACAGCAGCAGTACTGTTCCGAAGTATCTCTTTTCTGTCTAGTGATACGCGAGAGAGTTGTTGTGTACCGACGATTCCTTTTCGCGACGAGGTGATTTGGGATGGCTTCGCGGAGACAGATCGGAGACAAGGAGCTGCGGTGGAAAACTGATTGAATTGCTGTAGAACCAAACCGAGCTTGGACAACCCAACAAATACGCCACCGCAAACCCTGCTCGTGCCTTGCGTGCTGGCAATGGTCGCTACCACGCCCTCTCGTCGCACACAGGTGTGACGAAACATCCCGTAAGATCGCCGTTACGATGGGCACCAGCGCGGCTGCCCGGGTCGTGCTTCGCATGGACAGGAAAGAGCCTACCCCGGCGGCGGCGAGGGAAGCAGCGGGGGCATCCACAGATGGGGTTGACGAAGCGGTTCCAGCAGACGACGTGTTGTTTCACGTTCCGAGGGGCCTCTGGTGCTACCGGGTGGACCGACACAGGGCCGTGCTCGGCGGGGCGTTGACGGACGGCGGCTCGGTGTTCGAGTGGCTCCGCAACACGCTGGCGCTGGCCCCCGGGGAAGACATGGCGGGGGTGATGGAGGAAGCGGAGCGCATGCCCCCGGCCAGCCACGGCTTGACGGTGAGTTCAAATGTCAAATTGCTCGGTGATGCTGCTGATTGGCTCTCGGTCCGGGTCTGGCAGCAGAACCCGTCCCACTGCGTCCATTCATCGCCGGGCCGAGGGGTCCCGATCATCACTCCTTCTAAACCATGACTTTCGTGGGCGCGTATAGTGGAGTGCTGCAACGACCAAGAGTCAGTGGAAGCTCCACGCAATCACACGCTTTTCCTCGGGCCTTACGCATGATCACCACCACTGCTGCCGCGCGGTTGAGGTCGTCTCGAACACGACTTTCCTCCTATTCACGCTGGTATTTATTTACCACCCCGCAGGTCCTGCCCTTCTTTTCCGGAGAGCGCTCGCCAGGATACAACGACGACGCAACAGCGTGCATCTTCGGGCTCCGGCGGTCCACCACACGCCCGCAACTCGTACGCGCGGGGCTCGAGTCGGTGTGCTTGAGGCTGGCCGTGATCGTAGACCTCATGAAAGACCTCACGGACGGCGGCAGCATGAAAGGCTCGAGCTCAAACGAGCACGAACCCGAGACCTTTTCCGCCGGCGCGTTGGTTCGGGACCACGAAGACGCTGAGGTCGTGACGAGCGGCAACGCTTTCGCGGCCTCGCCGTTCTGGCGGAAGATTCTCGCGGATTCCCTGGGCAGGACGGTCCGGGCGTCCGGCGCGACGGAGGAAACGTCGCTGGGTGTCGCCGTCATCCTCTCCTCCCTGGAGAGCGAAGCCCTGCGGCAGGCGTCGGCGGTGCCTGGCTCGCTGCTGGCGGCAGGGCTGGCAACGGCGGGGGAGACACGGAGCTCGAGCCAAGAGAATCGCACTGCGCCGGCCGTAACAGCCGTGCACACGCCGGACGATGCATCCTTCCGGGCGTATCGGGAAGCCGGGCTAGCGCAACAGCGGGCGTACCGGGCTGTTTTTGGCGACGCAGCGGGGGACCCGCACCTCCCCGTCGAGCCCACAGGGACAACGATTGACTGATTTGGGAAACAACAAACTCTTCGAACTATTTTTCCTAGAACAACCTTTGAAGGTTTTCCTGTCGTAAACACACAAAATCAAACTTTTACGGCAGCTGATGTGTAAAATGGGGAACAAAATCGCGTGCCATGCTGATCAACGCGATGGAAGACTGTGCTTGAAGGATAGCTGTGCTTCGAAGAATAACGGGTACCACCATTTAAGCGAATCGGGAAATGGTGTCCGCGCAATGATAACAAAAAAACAGCGAGTGCCACACTACCGCCCTGCACAAAAACCCGGCGAGGGCTGGATCACGCTCCTCCGGGGTTGGTTCTCCAGACAGAGAATGGCCGGTCGATGAAACCGACGCGGCGCCGCACTGGTTTCAAATGTGAGAACCGAGAACATCATTCCACAATCCAGAACCATCAACAATACGGAACACCTGCATTTCTTTACACGATTCTAGAATGAGAAAACAACGAAGGAAATTTTGGTATGCAACAATGAAGGCCAGATCTATCAGGCTCTTACATGAAAGCAAAAACACCACGAGCCACACTGCAGGGGCGACATTAGTAGGCTACCATTGCCCTGTTCCTCTGGTTCCGCATAAGATACAGCGATCGATAACGCATTGAATGGAAGGCTGCCTACGTACAAAGCATCGCCATTTTTCAAGGTGAAACAACTCGTGTACATCCAACATGGTTGACACAGAGCAGGGCTCGAAAAACACGACTGGCGTGGCACGATCGTACCTGTGCTCTCTAAATTAAGTCAATCTTCATTTTGGAAACTTTGCCACCCTCCTCTGAATCCTCAGGTCGAGACGAGCGATGATTGGCCATACACACGCTGAATAAGGCACAGCGGCGAACGTGGTCATCCGTCAAGACCCACCAAAGAACGAACGAATAATACAGAGGATGCACGCGGGGGGGGGGGGCGATATACAGCTAAAATCGACCGAATATATGACTCAACTGGAAAAATACATGGGAAAATACGTGGGTTGCGGAACGAGAATGCATGATTCGTAGCATCTACCGTCGCCTGCAATTGCTACGCAACTCAAATATTTGGTTTTCTACGCATTATAAATTCTTGCGACAGGCACGTTCGTACCACTGATGTGTAGTTGGCCCCACAGGTGGACTGCTCTCCCTACACCCCGCAGATGGGCAAAACCCAGGTTACGGAGGGTCGAAAACACCCTGCCACACTACCACGCACATAAACACCTAACCACAAAAAGCTCGTCTACATGTGTATGCCGTGTGGCAAATATCATGGATGCCAAGGGTGCCGAGCTCTCGACAGTGAACACGATTCTCAAGCAGCAAAAGCAAAGGGCAACGCAGACTGCAGCTTCTGCCGAGACTGCGGTCCGAAAGAAATAATAAACTTGTTTACACCAAACGTCACAATCTGTCTCGTACGAATGCAGTGCAGCAAATAGAAGCGTGAAGCACAAGTACGGCCTGGCACGCACGTGGGACACGAAAGTTTAGGAGGATAAAAACACAAGCTAGACTCCTTCTCGAGGAGTGGTCACACCAGAAACCGTCCGCCAACCGCCCGCCTGCTCTGTACGCCCGCCCACAACCCAGCACAGAGGTGCAAAACAGCCGAGCCTCCTTTGTACTTTTTGAGCAAAACCAAGCCTCAAAACAACGACAAGTCGCCGTAACAGCTTCTTCGTGCGCCCCCTCCCGCACGCTACATATCCACCATGAGGTGAAAACACACCGCTCGGGGGGGAGCACAAGCAACTACCTCCTTGTTCACCTCAGTCTTTCTCCGAAATGCCACGCACACACAATAAGATGGCACAGACATCAACTCACCATATTCCACAAAAGCCTCTGTCCTTCCCACATGCTCTCCTGCCGCGGCGCCCCTATGCCAAGAAAAACTTCTCCCCACCCAAGACGGAGGAGCGCGAACACTCTCTCGCATCTCTCGTCCTCAACAAAGGTATTGTGCACAATTCGGGCGGGGTTTTGCGGAGAGAAAACAAACCAACAGCGGGGTCCCGGAAATACCACAATCTGAAGCGCGATGCGCTCCCTCTCTCTCCCCCCCCTCCCCTCAGCGGCAGTGCTGACGGTATAGCCGATGCTTTTGCCCATGCACACGCTTCCACACTCGAAAGAAAATGAATAAACAAGTCCACCATCCACCTTTTGACGATCCTCAGTTGACCATTGCAGCCGCCAACGGGGTGACGGGTGGGACGACGGAAGAAGCGGCGAGTGCCTCCGTGTGTCCCTCGCCCTTCTGCTCGGTTACCCCTTGCCCCTCTCCTCGTCCGTCCACTTCTATGGGCGCGGCTTCCCCTTCTCTATGCGGCGCGAACGTCTGCCAAGAAGGCACAAAAAACGGGACATACCACCATGGACGTGTCGCGAGCTGAGAGTTAGTCAGTCCAGCACGGTAATGTTGAAAGGAAACGGTGGAAAAATGAGGAAGATGTGTCAAGAAGAACGGCAGTCGCCGCGCAGGAAACGCCCGCCAAGACTGCGGAAAAAGCAACACCGAAACAACAAACGTGCTCAACACGTAATGCGCATCCCTTGAAATAGCCTTTGACCGATGCGCCCAGTTCACGTACAGTCGACCCCGCTTTAAGGACGCACATGGTTTTTCCTGAAAAAAAGCGTGCTTGAAGCGGGGTTGCGTCCTTAAAATTCAGGGGACGATAGCTCACCATCCCCGGGGTCAATGAAGGCATGCTGTACCTCAACTACGCGTCTTTTGTTAAGGAAGGGTGTGGTACGAAAAGTCAGCATCGCCGAGACGAATGGCAACCGTTTGTTGACGTCGAACATATTTACAATACTTTACATGAGATGTACAGCAGTCGGGGACGTGTTGAACACAACTACATTCAGTACACAAGTTTGAACTTGGCCAACTAATGTACTGCTTCGCTGGCAGCGGAAGAAGGAGCAAAGTCCCAGTAGAAACACATTTATTTCATTCTCGTGCAACACAAAAAGAACGATCGTGTTTAAGCGTANCCGAGACGAATGGCAACCGTTTGTTGACGTCGAACATATTTACAATACTTTACATGAGATGTACAGCAGTCGGGGACGTGTTGAACACAACTACATTCAGTACACAAGTTTGAACTTGGCCAACTAATGTACTGCTTCGCTGGCAGCGGAAGAAGGAGCAAAGTCCCAGTAGAAACACATTTATTTCATTCTCGTGCAACACAAAAAGAACGATCGTGTTTAAGCGTAGCACCGAGGAACACCAGTACATATAACTGTCCCGGCGGAGACCAAGCTACCCTGACGGCTTTTCCCTCCACACATCGCGAAGAGTTCCCTCAACCTCCCCCCGCGGCTTGGCTCTACGACTCTGATGAGTTTCATGAGTAAACGAATGAACGGTCTTCGAAAGGAGGCACTGCGTCTCACGGTACTCGCCACCCCTTCCCTTCGCGTACAAATAGGATCGAACGTCCTCCAAGCGAGGGATAACCTCGCCGTCGGTGAGGGACGAGGTTATGCACGACTCCGGCCTGCCGTCGCCGTCGACCTCTTCGCTCGATACGTCGTCGTCCATTTCTAAGCCGGCGAGATCCCTCTCTACTGCCCGCAGTTCCAACTCCACCTCCTCTTCTAACACCTCGGGGTCGTCCTCTACCGTAAGCCACGTTTTGACCGCCGTTCGGACTTCCTGCTCTGTGAGGTCTGTGCCCTTCTCGACAAACAAATTGTCCGTCAACACTCGCGGCATGGACCTAGAGTCCGTTACGCTAGCTGGCATCGACATCAATTGAGACTATGTCAGAAAGGCCGTCGATGATTGCCGCGTCGTCCTTGTCCTCTCGGTCAAGCCGCGTGTCAATGCCCTTCAAAACGTTGCAGTGCTCCCTGGGAAGGATGCCAGCCTTGAGCCAGCACCTGATGACTGTCTGAACGTCGAAGCTACGCCACTTCTGGGAACAGATCTCTGTGACGTCCAGCATTGTCGCCTGTCCTGCATCGCTGAGGCCCCGGCAGCCTCTGCCGAAACGAAACACAGGGACGGCTAATGTTAAAACCAGCTCTACAAAAAAGTTGAAAGAACACTATTTTCAGAGCCTTCGCAAGACCTGCGACGACGGTAACAAAGAGCGCCCCTACATTGTTGTTTTGATTTCACCTTTGGATTTTTCGTGCACGGACGGTGTCCCAGTCCTCGATGAGGTCTGCAGCCTTGCCACCATCTCGGTCTTGTACTGGCACTTGAGTACAAACAGGATGCCCATGTCCGTGGGCTGGTAGGCAGAACTGACGTTCGGAGGCAAGAAGACGATGACGATCTGTGGGTCGTTGCTTGTGATCTTGTGGCCGGGGCAGTTGTCCCACAAGAGGGCCACCTTCTTGGAGGTCTTGCCTTTGACGAAGGGGACAAAGACTTCGTCAAACCACCGCCGGCAAATGGCTGCGTCGAGCCAGGCACTCTCCTGGGCGAAGTGGGACATGGCGGTTTGCGGACGTGGCGGAAAACCATCGGTTTTTTCGACGTGCTGATGATGGCCAACGGCACCATCAGAGACCCGGTCGTTTTGCAGCAGGCGACCACCTTGCACCGATCCTTGGCCTTCATGGCCTTCGAACCCCGCGCGGTTTTGCTGTTGACGCCGGCGGCGGCCTCCCCCTTCGTGACGTATGTACCTCTCGGGAAGCAGCGGAAGAAAAATCCCGTCTCGTCCATGTTAAAAACTAACTCGACGTCGAATCCTGCGGCTGCTCACGAATCCTCTCGATCTCCGCTGCCACCTTCTGCTTGTCCACGTCGCCAGCTTCTCCGTGCAATTGGACGTAAGTGAAGCTGTAGCGTTTCAGGAAGCGACCTAGCCAGTNCGAACCCCGCGCGGTTTTGCTGTTGACGCCGGCGGCGGCCTCCCCCTTCGTGACGTATGTACCTCTCGGGAAGCAGCGGAAGAAAAATCCCGTCTCGTCCATGTTAAAAACTAACTCGACGTCGAATCCTGCGGCTGCTCACGAATCCTC